CTAACCATGACCTTTATCCATAACCTAACCATTACCAGTACATACCTAACCCTAAACCTAACACATCCTCAATTCACACCTTAGTCCTAAACCTAGCCCCTAACCCACCAACGGGACTTCTTCTTATGGGGCCCGGGCTTTGGGCCCCATAAGGAGCAGTTGGTCCTCACAATGTAGTATAAGTTGGAAAAATGGGCCTCACAAAGTAGCATAAACAAGGACACACACACACACACACACACACAGCCAGGTAGGGTCAATGCACGCACCACTTTAACCTTTGATAGTCGACAATGAAAACACACACTGTACCCTAAACACACACTTATTTCTCGGTGCACTCAGTCTGAGCATTATTTAACGTTCAGTCTTATGATGAAGATGGCAACACCGTTTTTTCCAGTGGTTTTATTCATATAAAAATCTAAACCAACAACGTTCTGTCACACAGAAAACACAAGCTTCCCTAAATCGCGTTTCCATTCTTCCTCTGTATTGTACACCTGCGCACTTTAAATGTTTCATTTTTTTATTTATATGACGACATTTGCATGCATGATGTTGCTGCATCAACAATGTTGCCTTTGCTGAATTTTATTTGGCAAACAGAACATAACATTTTAGTACAGTTACATTCAGTCACGTTTTTCATTATCCACAAGTTATACGAGTTAAACTGTCTGAAAATTGACTGCCTCTTAAAGAATAGAGCATTTTAAATGAATGCTCCGTTTTAAAGCATATGAATCTGACATTAGGTACAAATTTTATTAGACCAACATAACGTAACATACTTAATTAAAGGTGGCAGGTGATGTATTTTCTTAAGGAATAATAGGATTTTACTTTATTTTGGCTGCAGAGACTGAAACCAGTTTTCTTCAGATTCAGTGAAAAGTAGCACTTTACTCATTTATTTATTTCTCTTGACTCAGACTCATGAACTCCTTGAACCCAGACTAAAGTATAAATAGACTTGTGTTTGACAGTAACTCTATTTGCCAGAATGAGTGGATTGCTGTTGTTTGATCAGATGCTCGCTGAGTGTGTGTTTGCATGTTGTGAGACGCCATTTCCTGCCTTTGATCACAGTGCGATGGAACCTGAATGATGAGCAGAAACACCGGAGGCTGAACTGTATGGAGAACTTGACCACCGGCCTGGTTTTCATCATCGTGGCTGTCAACGTCTTCATCACAGCTCTTGGAGTCCATCAGCCAAACCACAACAACTGACCAAGAACACACACCTGACCACATTTGTGATCAATTTAAGTGAAGAAACTATTTGAGCATCTCAAGAAGGTGTTACGCTTTGGCATTCAAGCTAAATGTTTGCAGAAATATACAAAAGGGGATAAACCCCCCTATTTAAAATATTCCCTCGTTTAGGAATTTAATGACATTTTAGACATTCATCATAATGAGTATGCTTCTTCTGGCCTTTCTGGACATTTTTTTAATGGGGCGGCTGTGGCTGAGTGGTTAGAGCAGTCGTCCTCCAATGCAAGAGTTGGCGGTTCGATTCCACCAGCAGTCACATGCCCAAGTGTCCCTGGGCAAGACACTGAACCCCTCATTGCCTCTGATGGTGTATGAATGTGATAAAGCTCTGATTAGTCTCTTTAGAATGATTTGTTCAATGAGTTTTGTAGAGATCTAGTAGAGTGCTGTATGAATGGGTGAATGAGGCACAGATTGTAGTGTAAAGAGCTTTAAGTATCTTGATAAGATAGAAAGGTGCTATACAAGTACAGTCCATTTACCATTTACCATTTCTGGTCATAAATCCCCTACCTGACCCAGATGCACACTGACCGCTCCAGACAGCTGCAGAAGTTTCCACCAACTAACAGGTCAAACAAAAATCTAGCTGCTGTTCATTTACCAGCAAAACCATTGTCCTGCTCTGCTGCAGAGAGAAACATCAGACGAAGCAAACAGGGGTGAGCAACAATATATTTAGTGGACGAACGTGAACCTGGAGACGACGCCATGCTGCCTGTTTAAGAAACTGTCAGACAGTGAGCCAAGCATCGGCCAGACTACCTTCAGATTTTAATTGCACCAATGTCGCTTGGTGTGTTATTTTGTCAGACAGCTTGGAGCAGGAAGTTTGTTGGGTCTGTTGGGGCTCTGTCCCACAGGTGTTGTGCCTACAAGACTCAGTAATAACAATGTTTGGCTTTACCTGAAACCCTTCTGCTGTGAGCATACGGACTGTGTTTGTGGTTCTCTGGATCAGCAGCAGCTGGTGAGTCAGAGTCCACACAGCATGGACCCCAGCTGAACTGCTTGTTAAAATGGAAGCACTAATTAAGACTGTGTTTCCGCCGCGTCACCAAGACCCTAATTAGTGTCCGGGTCGATGCCTGTTTTAGACGCGTCAGTGGCTGAAACATAAGAAGATTTACCAAAAAAAAAAAGATTTAACCTGATTTGTTTGCAATGTTCAGGTCAGTACTGGAATTTCAACTGATGAATATGTGATTTACTACAACGTGAGCACTTTTCAGATGGCAAACCAACATCTTATCTTTTTCCCTCCTCCACAATTACTCACTGGTAACCGTGGAAACAGCAAGTAGCAGATTGCCGATACACAGCTTCAGTCAGGGCAGATATATTTACATTCTGTATATCTGTGACTGTTCTGGATACATCCCAGCTCTTGTGTTGTGTTCAGGTCAAATTTGACCAATTTAAACGTTTTATCTCTGAAAACTGTAGTTAACTTGTTTAGATTGACCTGTGATTCCATGACACTGTCCACAAAGAGGATTTGAACACACAAAATAAACTGTATTGATTCACAAATAGTTTTGTAAGTTTTATTCAGCTTTTGTACACTCAGTGTTACAGGTCATAAATGACTGGTCACTAGAAATGAATGTGGGAGACAACATGAGGTAAAAACTGAGCTCAGGTACACCCTCATTTGTCAGATGGACACATGCACAAGGACACACACACACACACACACACACACACACACACACATACACACACATCCTGGGTGCCCCGGCAAACATTGTGGGAACCTTTGGCCCAGTAGAGTCTCTCTGTCGCGGGAACAACACCTGTGTTGACAGTTCCTACAGAAAATTGCAATATTGCTTCAATAACACTGAACTTTTCCGTAGCTTTGGCATAAAATACTTTTTGAGGCTTTGCTCCCAGTTCACTGTGTGGCAGCACCATGGCAGGTCAATAAACCATAAGTAAGGCTCTTGATTTCATGGGGAAGTGGTGGGTCAGAGGTTAGAGAAGGCGAGCCTGTGATCGGAAGGTCGTCAGTTCAACTCCCCGAACTGACAACATCAAAATGTGGGTAGGAAAGGTGAAGCACCCACTCCTGTGGTAGCTTGGTGGCCTGTGGTTGGATCAGGAAGGGCATCCAGTGTAAAAATAATTGTCAAGTCTTCGTGCGAGTTAGTTCGCTGTGGCGACCTCTGAAGAAGAAAGCAGTCGAAAGAAGAAGAAGAAAGTTCTTGATTTCATATTTGATGGTCCCCCACACTGATGAGGAGGGGAGAGGCCAGTGGGGATGGATTTGAGGAGGATGTGTCAGAAAATGGAGATGACATGGAATATAATTCAGACCAAAGGATAACTGATGAGGAGGAATCTAGTGATCATGTTGAAGTTGCTGTCACATTCAAGTTAAAGATTTTTGAACTTATCCTGGTCTTCTATCCTGATGCATGCTCAATAATCCAGGTAGAAAAATCCAAAAAAGTTAAATCTGGTCCTCTGGACATTCAAAAAAAAAAAAAAAAAACACCTACACCCCCCTGAACATAAGAGGATCTGCGGTGGAAGTGGTCTCCAGCTACAAGTACTTGGGTGTACACATGAATGACAACCTCAGCTGGAGCAACAACACCACCAGTCTGATCAAGAAAGCTCATCAGAGACTCTACTTCCTCAGACGGCTGAGACGAGCTGGTCTGGGAAGTTCAGTCCTCACCTCCTTCTACAGGTGTGCAGTGGAGAGCATCCTGTGCTCCAGCATCAACGTGTGGCATGGAGGCTGCACAGCTGCAGAAAGAAAAGCTTTGCAGAGAGTGGTGAAGGCTGCACAGAAGACTGTTGGAGTCAGTCTCCCCACCATCAGACATCTGCACCTCCAGATGCAGGAAGAGGGCCACCTGCATCATGAAGGACCCCACTCACCCAGCACACACACTTTTTGCCCCACTCCCCTCAGGAAGGAGGTTGCGAAGCATTAAGTGTAGAACCACTAGACTGAGGAACAGCTTCTACCCTGAGGCTGTTAGACTCATGAATCTCTAACTAGAATAATCACTGTGAAAAACCATATCATGTTGCTGCTGATCTGTTTCATGTTGCTGCTGATCTGTTTCAGTGTTGATGTGTTCATGCGTGCACATCTGCTCACAGACTCATGTTCATGTTTGTGCTGATGTTCAATGTTTTTATGTTATGAGTGCTTAGTGTATATTTAGTTGATGTTTTTCTTAGTTCATATCAGATCATATTACAGTTTTTATTTTACATTTTATTGTTGGATGTAACTGGGACCCTGTGTACATAATTTCGCTCCACCACATGTACCACATGAGGTGCGAATGTCAATAAAGAATCTCTGACTCTGATAAATGCAATACATACTAGCAAGAGACACGCATCAACCTGTGCAAATTGTCCAACATGTGCATGAGAAAAAAAAAACACTATGGAATGAACACACTCCACCACATTTAGAAGCCTGGATTTTTGATGTGATTGTTCTTGTTAGTTGTTTGATAATGTATGAAGGCATCGAACTTGGAACAATGTGAAAATGTCACGTGCAGTTTTGAGATAATTTCCGTTGTACACAATAAATATATTCATGGTCACTTCTGACAGGGAAAACAACAGGTGTTACTTCATGTGACTGTATAAAATTTTTAATGACTTCAAATAAAATGTCCTTGATAACTTACTGTATGTATGGCGCCATCTTGTGGTCCTTCTCTGTCTGTGCACCCTAGTTTGTCATTTATCCTGATTGATTTCTCCTTTGTCTGGTCCCAGCTGTTTGTAATTATGTCCTGTCTGTGTACATAGTCTGTCTGTGAGTCTTGTCCTTTGTCGGTTCGTCGTTGGATATTGCCTGTCCTGTCTGATCCTGTCCTGACTCTATTTTATAAGTTTGCTGCCATGTCAGCCTTTTCATTTATTATTATTAAAGTATTTTATTTTGTACGTCTGCCTCCTGAGTCCTTCCTGCTCATCTGGGTTCTCTCCTGTCCTGACCTGCCTGAAACCCTGACACTTACTCAAAGTACTCTAATAAATAGTATACCATCTGATTATTTCTTATACTCAAAATACTCCCAAAATTATGATTTTTTTTTTAGAACTTACTTTCAAGTATATAAGATCAGAACAATGAGGCACACAGGCCACTAAAAACATATAAAAGTTCACTAGAACTTAAGTTATTTCAAAAGTCCAACACAACAAGTAGTGATAATGTGCATTAACAGATTTTTTTAATGGTGTCTTAGTGAAATGGTCATTTCTGACCGGGAACATGAAATTGTTTAACACAAAATGAACACGGTCTAACAAAGAGCCCTGATGAATCAGAAGGTGCTGACGATTAACAAGGACTTTAAGCTCATGTAAATAAAAATTATAATGCCAGTTTTTAAACTCCTCACTCACTAACAGCAGCTTCTCTGTGTAATTTGAACACCTCCTCCTCCATTTTTTTGTCACTCCTCTCTCGTCTGTTGCTGGAAATACAAGAGAAAACGCTCGAGCTCTCCTCCATGTTATTGACGTGACCAATATACTAAAGATTGTTTTTTTATATAATTCATTACATCACAAAATGTATAAAGTGAGTCTGAAGTGTGCACATGTTTCTTGAGCATTTGTGTGAAGAGTATTTAACGCAGCATGGCATTAAGTTACCTTTACTCACTTTGTTTGGCATCATTTATTAATGCAGGCTGTCTGCTGCTTCGGACTGTCCCTGATGCACCAGAACATTTCCCATCATCCTCGTGTCCTGCACTGATGTGCAGAATGAGAACGCAGTGCCCTCTGGTGTATTTACCACTCCTACTTCACAAATCAGAGGACCTGCAGTGTTTGGTCAGGTAAACTCACATGCTGTAGAAAATCTAGAACGCTCTGCATCTGTCACAGCTTTTTCATTAGTAAAAAAACAAGCAGGCAATGTTTCTTGTTGTCCTTTATTTTAATAAAAAATAGTT